ATAATACCTACAATATATTTCGCGTCGAATAAGTGATAATTGTAACGAATATTTTTTCATTTTACTTTTTTCTCAGTTCTAACTTTCTTTCTTTTTTAGCAGCACGAACAGTTAATTATAAGATTGCGAACTATTCAACTACAATTAATAGTGCTCTTAATTACTCCTAGAACTCACCAGCAATTACGTTTGATATTTTCGTTTTGCTTTTATAATTGAGTAGAGTTCTAGACATTTTCTAATTATACAAGTATTTATGCATTACTATGGTATATTGTGAAAATAAATATAATTTATCTTGACAAATAATAGATATTTAAAAATAATTAATATCAAATAATTAATATAAAATATGACATGAGTAAAAAATTATAAAAGAATCTCTTCTATGTAACAGTGTTGATTTTGAACTGAATTTCGATATTCGGCATATCAAGATTATACATAATATTTAGTTGCTTATATATTTAATATTATAATTTTAGAAAAGTAATTTTTGTAATTATGTTTATAGATAAAATTTTTTTAGATATCCGAAATATTTTATAAATATTTTGCACATTATAATATTTTGTATATAATATCTTTCATAAATAATTATATTTTAATGTATTATAATACATTACTTGGTACAGTTTACAAGCAGAAAGATTTCAATTGATAATAATTATTGAATATTTAGTGATCTATAGCAGTTCTTGTGATAAAAAAAACTATTAAATTTATAAAATTTTTCAATTCAAAATTACAAAATTCAATATCTTATACAATATTATACCACATTCCAAAGTAATTTGAAAATCATTTAATCGATTGTGTTCGATGGAACGCAAATGCAGCTGCGACGATATAATTGATTCACGCGCAATGAATCGAGGAAAGAGGGGGAACATTATTGAGACCGCGGGCTTATCATTTACCGTCAGCTGTTGATAGGTACGGAAATCCTCTTAGCCGTCGACAGTATTCTGATCGAAGCTGAGTTGTGATGCATCAACGAATACGGGATTCAGATTCACAATTGCGCGTCGCTTGAATTTTCCATGTTTCGCATAACTGAATTCGGATACGGATACGGTTTCTTGTGACACAAAATCGATAACTGTTCTAACGTAGTATTATTCTGTAATTGGGCGTTTATATATATTTTAAACGGCTAGTAAGAGTGAAATTCTAAAAAAAAGTATCGAAAGATAATTTGGCTTTACTTTTTAATGTGGATGTAGATATGTGAAAGAGCAATTACTTCTGAATTTCTACGGCAAAGATAGCCCGCATCTTACATCTTATTTGATCTTTAATCCGTAGTAAATTTTACCGACAAAAGGAATTTAATTCGGATTTTGATTATTTAATCAAAATATGCTTTTTTAAGTAATTTTTCTCTCTAGCATCGATCTAAAATACAGTACAATATATTTTTACAATTGCTTTTAATGAAGCTTATTGTGATGAAAATTTAATTTATATCTGAATATTGATGAGTCATATTCAATGGAAATATTTATTTATAGGTTTCTGTACTTGCAATGAAATTTTCTTAAATCTTTCTATTTTTTTTTTATCAGAACGCTTAAATTAGCAGATCAAATTCATCATATTTAATGATTAAAATTAAAATAAATGCAAATCATATAAATTATATTTTCTTTGATCTTCGCTTTATTGGTTCTTGTTTGTTGAACTATTCAGTAAATAAAACATATCATGGCGCATGGGTAAGAGAGTGTCGGTAAAACGGCACTGAATGGCTACGCCTACTTACTGACGTATACAGAGTACAGCATATTACATCGATTCTATACATGTACCTCGCTGCCATCGACATCGAACCATAAAAATAATACAGTTGAACGTGGAACGTATTCTTTGCAACGTGTCTCGGCAAACGGAAATAAAACACGACTGGTTTGACTTATATACACAATGCCAGGAGACTCACGCTTATTGTGCGATTCTTTACACGTGATCTATTTCGCCGTTTTTCGAAAAGATCACTGTATATTTGGCATATTTATATAATTGGCTCGAAACGCTACCCCGTCTTTTAAATAAAATGTGTTCGTACATGTTTGCGTTAGTTGAAATATAAGTATCCCAAAAAGATTTGTATTTATACTCTTTTACTTGAGTTCTTATTTCAAGAAACGAGTATAAAATATACTCGGTTATTTTTCATTATTAAGTATATTCCAAATTAGATATACTTATAGAAATAATTAGCTATACTTAGAATAAAATTTCGTTATTTGAAGAGATGCAGACAGTTTAATAATTATGTTAATTAGAAAATTAACTGAGTCTGTACTTAACTGAAAAGCAAACTGATTATTCACTGAAACTTGATACAATTAAAATATTGTGTTACTTCGTAATATTACATACATATGCATATCTGTGTAATGTGATATACGTACATATTATTCATTGTAATAATCCATAAAATTTTAGAAACACTTTCCGAGAAATTTTAGAAACAATAATCCAAGAAAAAAGTTATAGGTAAAACTTTATTTACATATATCTATATCTTTTTATATTTCCAAACTTTACCAAACTTTACCAAACTTGAAGACAATTCCACTTTTATTAAAAAAATCATTTCCGTCATTTATCTTATTTTTATGTTACTTTTACTGTCAAAGAAACATACGCAAGTAGCTTAAATAAGATTGCACACATCTTAAATGAGAGTCTTAAAATAAAATTTCTATAAGTGTTCTTAAAAAGGCATATATTTTTATAAACGCGCACATTAAACGATTAAAACACCTCTTAAAAATGAACTTTTATGTTTCTGAGCGGATATTGTCAAAACGGTAAAAGATATAAAAAAAGTTTTTTAATCAAAGGTTTAAAATTTTGAATGAAATTTTATATAGTTTCAAAGGTATTTGAAGTATTCAAAACACGATGTGAAATTATCCAAGCATTGTTATGGTAATATATATCATCTGTAAATATATTATTTAATAATTATGCGATTTTTATGCTTTAATTTATACGATTGTTATGCTTTACTGCTAATCCCAATTCTTACTTCAAGTAAATAAATCGCACAAAAAATATTGCTTCGACATAACGAATCGCTAATCACTGGAATTAATTAATCGCATGAGTGATAATTGCTATTTGTTTATAATATATGTTTACGTTTTTCTTTCTTTTTTAAAAGATTTTTTTTGCTGTAATTTATCCGTCTGTACTGGGAAAAAATATAACTCGGAGAGATAATAACGAAACGATATGCAGGGCGATTCATACCGTTGTGTTTGCTGCTGAGACTCGTATACAAATAACAGCGAAATGACTATTTACACATAACATATATGCTGCGATAAACGTGTGCAAAGTGTCATGTTTGCCATTACGTCGCTGTTATGAGATCTATGAAGCAAATGTATATGCTTTTTTTCAAGTTTTTTATTTTTATGAAGCAATCGTATTCCTTTTTCAAGTTTTCTGTTTCTCTCTTCCATTTTAAATTAATTTCGATGAAAGCTTATATCACGTAACTTGAGCTTCCGTTTCTAGTGTTATCAACATCAACCAAGATAATGATTAATTTTGCCTTCTAATATACAAATATTGAGGCTCTTATAGTTTTTGAGCAAGAAATTAAAAGAAAGTTTAAAATTTTTTTCAAATTTTAATTAATAAACAGATTTTAATATTTTGTACAAAATTTGTAAGAGATGAGATTTCTTTTTATATAAAAAATATTGATTTAAAAAATATAAATATCAAGTACTGACAGTAGATTTCACGTGATTATTTATTAACTCGATAAAAATTGAAAGAATAGAATCATAGGTCGCAGTTAGTTTAATTATCTTACATGTATTATGTTGAAAATAAAACTAAGAGATGAAATTAAAACGAAATTTTGTTACGTCTTTAATTGAAATTTTAATCATGCGAAATTTTCTGTAAGAGATAAGTTCTATAATAAAAACTTTGTCACGCGAAAGTAAACAAGTAAATGTCAATAGCAATTAATTAGAAAGGTTTATAGAAATTTGATCATCTTGGTTATATAGAGCCGATTATTAAGCAACTAATAGGGAAGGCAAGAAGAATGAAATAAGTTGCTTACATTGTTCGTCACTAAATTACCCCTCCACCTTTAAGAAGCTATTATGCAGAAGCTGTTATGCACGAAGGAAAACCGGAGAGTGCAAGACGTGAACAAAGCGTTCGAATGAATCACACAAGAATGATAAATTAACAAACGCGCCTATATCGTCATTGTAATCGTAAAATAAATGCAAAAGTTTTTTCACAAAGAATATTCAATTTCTTCATTGTATAACTCCTATTTTTTATCATCATCGCTTGATGTCGTGTTCCACTTGCTTCCCCAAGATTTTCCTGCACATCGCTTAAAACCGCTTTCTTTTTCCACCAGTGTTTTCTAGAGATCATTTCGTTTAATATTAAAACTCCGCAAGAATGATCTCTCGCAATTTCTCGTTATATTTATTTTTTTTATTACAGCGATTTTTTTAATGTAGTGGCATCTGTGTTTATCTTGCTTGTGCAATCATGCTTAGAAAGTTGATTAAAACTTCTTTAAGGTTTCTCGATTGTTATTGAAAATTATTTTTTATTACCGAGACAAACTCGCAAACTTGTATGAATATACTAACAAATTATTATTGCTTGAGGAATGTTGCAATGGATTTAAAGGAAGCTTGAATAATAACTCTCTATCGGAAATTGTAATTAGTTTACAGATTCATTCCCGGGAGTATCAATTTTTTTATTAATTATCTGAAAAGAATCTATTACTTCTTTTTTCAAAGGAGAAGCTGATTAAATAAATGCTGTTAAAACAATTTACAAAAGATATTTTTTATCAAATCAGTTGGAAATGTTAGCTCTAATACAGTTATACATACAATTGAATAAATATAATCGAGAAACCTGACGAAGAAATAAAATTCTAAATTTCGGAAAAGAAGGAAGAGATTATGATCTAGACGATGTAAATTTTGCAGGGCCCACCTTGGAACCACCATTGCCCAGGCGAAAGAAATGTCCGGAGCTCGCTTACAAGACGCACGAATTTATCACGGCAGCGGATGGCGGTGGTATCGACGCTATCGACTCAAATGTCGTAGCTGATAAAGTACGGGTAAGGAGTGTTGATATTATATTAATAACTCTGTAATTCTTTATAACAATTTATAACAACATCTGTATATACAGTCTGATGAGTACGAAATAAAATAAAACCCTTCATATGTGAATCATATGTCTAAGATTTCACGTGCAATAAGAAAATTCTAGCAAAAGAGTTTTTAGGAGAAGAGGTCAATTGAGTTTGAAATATCGGTCTTCAAATCATAGGAAGTTACAGCAACGTCGGCACTGCCACCAAGTCAGCTCAGCAAGGCGATATCTCGTATCAGTACCGAGTACCGACTGCAGTTCGCCTGGCCTAGAAGACCGCAGTTGACAAATGGCGAAACTCAAGCGCCGGTTCCAGCTGCGGGGGTTCCTGCAGGTACCACGGGTCCACCTAGGAAGTCGCTCAGCATGGGTGCCCTTAAACAGGGCATGGTGCCTTCTGGACCCGCGCCGGTACACAAGAAACGACCTGGCGACTTTGATCACAAACGCGATGGTACTTATTTAATGCCACGACAAATTGTTTTCAGCATTAATTCGAATCCTGAACAAACGTTGCGAATTTCGAATTTGTCAAATATCAATATTTTTGTAACTTTTAATTATTGACTTCTTGCCTGTTTCTATCTTTTCTTCTTTCTTTCAATTATTCAACATTTTTGTTAGAGAGAATCCAGCATTAAATCGTATAAAGTGGTGGAGTAACAGGTGGAGAGTAGAATAAAGTTTTTTGATTACAAATTACAATATGCCACTTATTTGAGAGAGAGAGAGAGAGAGAGAGAGAGAGAGAGAGAGAGAGAGAGAGAGAGCTGTGGTAATCAATATTATTTCTTCAATATCAGAAATTTGCACTTGTTCGTCATTATGCATTTGTCATTATTTCATTGAATTTTGTTGTAATAATGTAATAAATCGAATATAACGATTATATTTATGAAAAGAAACTGATCTCATATTGCACACATATTATACACACACGTATAGACACAAAAGCGTATTCAGCGTATTTTTGTATATTTCCCAGGGCTCCAAGCATCAGAACTGGAACCGTTGGTGGGTGGCACTGGAACGGACATGATCGACGGTGTGGTACCAGAGGGCGATGAACGCGAAGAGGATCTGTCGGATTTGAAAGTAGCTTTCAGGTCAGATTGTTAGTCGGATGTGTTAGTACGGCTTTTCACGTAAAAAGATTTGATATCCTCATGAAAGAGGAAACATTTTAAAAGAAACAGAAAGTAAAAAAGGCATCTACGACGATCTTGATCGGTGTGAAGACGCGACGATAACGCGACGCGATGATTACGTGATCATTACACGTAAAATTGATTATTTGCAGGGGTAAAAAGTCAGGTAGAACTGTGCGGATATCGGACAATAAAGTGCCGGAAAAATCAAAGTCAAGACCATTTCCCACGGCGGAAGTGATCGAACTCCGGCGACTCGCTGACGAGTACAAGGTAATCCATGGGAGATGTTTCGTCGCTTTAAAATTGGGGTTCTTATTCGAGTTCTTATTTCAAGCCAGTTTTCCCCATGTCGTATTCGTTCATCTTTACGTGAATCCTTCGTTCGATCTCTTTGTTTTGCGTTTAACTGCTCGATTGATCTGATCGTTAGGGTCGTCGAGTTTATCTGTTAGTGTTTGTGTGTTATCGGCGAATGGCAATTTTCTACTAGTCGTCGAAATTGCATGTTTTGTTTACTCCTTCCTTCAGTGATGTCATCTTTAACAACGAAAGTTCAGCCGTTACAAGTCTGCCAAATTAAATGTCTGCTTTAAATAACAACACATATAATACAAGTGAAATAATTTTCGATCATATCTCATAAGATATTTTACAAAAATCGCTCAGTTAATTATTTATTTAGTCGGTTGTTTTATTTAATGCGATTTTTTAATGAAAAAACATTCCTTTAAAATTAATCTTAAACCGATTTCTCCGCGATTTCGAGAGTGTAGTCTCAAAATTTCATCGTCTGAGCGTATTTTAGAAAAAATAAAAGGTATTTTAGTGTCTTCCTAGCATGTTTTGTATGTTTTCTTAATGTAGCATTGATTATCGTCGATTAATTAATTTTGATTAAGCTAATTATTTAAAATGCTATAAAAACCGAATTTTTAATTACGCAAATTCTAATTTAAAGATGAATTTTTTTTATAAAGATATTGGATGCAAGTTCAACTTGCTTGATTATATAAAAAAACGACATAATCAAGCAAGTGTTGAATTGTATCCAATATCTTCATAAATAAAAAAAGATTTTACCAAAAAATAAACTTTAAGATAAAATTGATAAAAAAACTCTAAATAAAAATCCTCGCTGAATCTAATCTAAACACAAATAACTTGATTACTTTCTTTTTAATTTTATTGTACAAATAGAGAAAAATGTTAATATGTGATATATACCTACAAATTTAAGTGCCCAAAAATAAATTTATAAATTACATGATTGATAATAAAGTATAAGAATAACATTTTACATTACAATGAAATGCGAATTATTGTTTTCTCTTTTTACAATATTAAATTAGTATAAAAATCGATTTTCCGTCAAGCTTTATATTAAATAAAGTTACAAGACTGTTCTTTCTGAAACAGAATTAAAATTTTTCTATACATATAGTTAAAAAAAAGAGTACTAGAGCTCGTGGCAGCAGTTTTACTTCTATTTTGCTGAAATTTTATTTTCAATTTTATTTGAAAAATATGATAAATCTTTTGTTACAAAACTTATGAAATATGGTATATTATTAATTGTGATAAAAATAATGTCTATTATAAAAAATGAAGGTTAAGATAAAAAAAAAAGTAAATAACTATTATTGTTTTGAATATCTCATTTCAATATACATGTTCATAAAAATATCGTACTAAAGATTAAAAAAAACAATATTTTAAAATAATTCGTTTAAAGGTAGGATGAAAGACTTAATCAAAGTTGATGTTGATCGATGTCGGTGTGACGTTTTTAGTGTTATCCTTTTCTTAAAATGTGTCGCCGCGTCACTCAGTTTGATTAGATGTTCATGGAAATAACAATACAGACACACAGACGGATGCTGATACATTTTGCTTTGCGTTAGCATCGTGACTGGGGTTGCGGTCTGGCAGCCGAGGACGAAGCTTCGCTGTGGAAACGAGTCTCCAGTAACCACGCGCTCAACGCCCTATCCCTTGCCAGGCCAGTACACTATACTCCATCATTTTCCAACGAGAAACTCGTTTTTATTGCTGTTGTTGTCGTCACTGTTGTTGTCACTGCCGTTGTTACGTAACAACGCTTGTTGGTTTGTCGGAGTTGTTCAACAATCACGATTCATTCTTCGCGATACATTCTTTCACATCAATTTATCAACGAAATGTTTTGTAGAAATGCATAGTTAGTTATCGCGTAATAATTTGCCACAAAATATTGCTGTCACGGAATATCTAGTATTAATTATTCGTTTTAAATATACATTCGTTCAACAGAATTTCTGCTTTCGAATTTTAACTACTAGGAAATTCCGTCGATGAACACTAATAAGTTAAACTAGACCGCAATGTGAATAATAAAAGTAAATAAGAAGAATACGATTGAGGCTGAATCTTAGTGTTCAATAATATTTCTATGTAAATGTTACATATATATCTTTCAGTTAAATAAACTGCGTGTCAGACTTGAAAAGCAATCATAAACTGAAGCTGAAATAATATTTCAAATTAAATTAACTGTCAATTTAATAATGATAAGCATTTTACCATAAAATACTACAAAGAACTCCGTCGATCAAGTTTATTATGGACTCGTATTTTTTTTACTTTTGTATGGTTTTTTTTTTTTTTCAAAAATATGAAAAAGAAATTATAAACAAGAAATTCAGTTCGAAATAACGTGAAATATTTTTAGAAATATGTGTGTAAATTCAACTATACTGTATCATGAACGCACTTTGAACACACGTGTGTATCGCTTCAAGAAACTTGCACTCTTATTAATTTTATCTACCATTTTGAAGGTCGTCATTAAACAGATGAATTTCTAATAGGGTTGCATTTAAACCATTCGAAATTCTTATATTCGATAGACATAAATGCACCAAACACCTCGCTTTGAATTACATGCGTCGTCCACACACGTTGTATCCACTGTGCGATCGTAAACGTCGTTTATCACGGATTTGCGTTATTCACGCAAAATAAATAAGAGCACTCGTGAGAATTCGAGCGTGCTCGCACCTTCACACGGATTCCGTCGTAGTCAGCTAGTTCACTTTATCGATTCGAACGAATCGATAACCGGCTTCATATGATCGTCATAGAATCTCTTTTTGATCAATTGTTCAGGTCGGTCACCAAAGAGGAGAAAGAAAAGGAGAACACGAGGAAGGTCGCACCGATCGCTACTATGCCACCGGCGGGTCGACCGTCCTCGGTACAAGCTAGACCAATCCACGGCATAATGCAAGACGAAACTAAGGCAGTACGCAAATATCCTATCGAGTAGTTTATCCTCTCATAGAATCGGTTTCTATGAGAAGGCTATTGAATAAATATCGGCTATTGAACATCGTCGAAGTATCTTGAAGTTGAGAATCGAGACGATGTAACTTTTTTCGTTATTTTAAAACGAGATTCAAGGATTATTTTTTTCTCTTTAATTTATGCACGATCTTAAAACTATTGTTCACGACTATTATTTTGCAACTGCTATCTTTTGTAATTTAACGTCTTTTTTTTTAAGAAAAAAAATGTGGATCAGTCATATAGATAAATCAATATTGTTACATTGTTTATTAATTGTTTGAAATTGAATTGACGAAGGGTGTGTATATATATATCCTATATATATATAGGATAATAATTGGGAAAGTTACTGAAACTATAGCTCAGTCATTTTATATTTTGTGTTATGAACAGAATGAAATAAATTTAACTTCAGGAAAATTCTATTATTTTCAGTAGTATATAATACAAAGAAATATGTATAATATTTGTAAACGTAAATATTATAAAAAAAGTCAATAATTGGATTTGTTGCATGACTTAATATTATATTTTTAACGATATATTTTTAAAAGGATGTTTTTAAATTATTGTTATCTGAATATGTACAATAATTGAAGCGCTTTTGAAAAATTAGTAAATACACTTTCCGATATTAACTATATATGTTATCAAAGAATTTCAGGTAAATTTCTTTCATGGAAATCGCTATCCAGGCTACCCATAATAATATTTCTTTTAAATATACAATTATTGATACAATTAGTAAAATTTTAATTTTTTTATAATATTTTTACAAATTCGTAAATGTAAATTTTTTGCACTATGAGCTAATAAAAATAATTAATTTATTCTGTAGTATATATGTCCTGATAATAAATTATGTCTTACTTAGTAAGTTACTTTTTATTTTAAATTTTATTAAAAAATTATTAAATATAATTCTTAAAAATTTGAATATATTTATGAATTCTAGTTATCTTGTTATTTATAAAGTAGTGAAACTTTTTCACTCAAGTACGTAAGGCAAACAACACAACATACCCAATTATATTTCTAATACAATTTTGTTGTAGGATACTGATCGAGCCATCGCTCGCGCAAGAAAGGATTTCTTGATCCGCCACCATCTCGATCGTACAACTGGTGTGGGTACGTGGTTAACAAATCAGATTAATTAATATAACAACAAGATAATAATTGTATATCTTTATTGTCTTGTTGAAGATAATCTATATCTCTATCTATCCTTAATTTATTTGATTATTATCAACAAACGAATAAATTATATATGCATATAAACATTATATTTTGCTTTCTTCCTCGTTTTTTTGTAAATTGTTCTGAAAAAATGTCATTTAAGGTGACGGTGCACTGCTTCCCTCTCCAACGAGAGAGAAACTGGAGCCCGTGATACCACGGCGACGTGATGATGTGAAGGAGCATCGGGACGAAATTCAACCACGAACCAAGTCCAGTCCGAAAAATAGTCCGAGAACCGGACGCTCGCAGAGCCTCGGACCGACCGTCACCGATCGCAGATCGCCCAAACGTCAGCCTCCTCGTGCACCGTCTGTTACCAAGGATGCTAAGGTATATTACTGATTCATAAAGAACACTTAGAATTAAAAAGTATTATTTGTAACATATAATTATTATCGTATAAAAGAAATTTCGGAAGAGGAAGAAACACGTATTTTAGTATCATATATATTTTAAAAGACTATCTTTTATATACATACACGCATGCACATATATATATTCATATTGATATCCATGAAATTATATGGACCAAATTTTGATATTGCATCAGTCGAAACGGACGTATCAAGGGATTTGCTTTCTTTTGTCAAGGAGAAAGAGAAAGAGATGAAAGACAAGGATAAGGAGCACAGGGAGAAAAGCGGCGAGCCCGAAAGACATCCACGACCGAGTAAGTAACGTAAATTGAAAGTTACATTTTGCGTTAGTTATCGGAAGTATTCTCAGTCGGTTACCCTAAGGGGATCGTTTCCTGAATCGATTAGAGCTCGTAATCTGTCAGTCGAGTCCCCTTTGCATTTTCGTGCATAAACTGGATTTGGATAGAGTATTTACATATATATCTATATTATATATGACCTTTTGGACTGCTGTCTGCTCTTGTCGGCCTCGAAAGTCAAACGTTCGTCGTACATACTTATTATACTTGTACAATTATACTCGTACGCCAGAGATGCTCACCGCTCGCGAGATTTATTTATATAGCTGTTACTTTGTTCGTTCTTTGTTATTCTATTTGCTAAAATGTATTGTAATAAAAAATCTTTTGTTTTAAAATTGTCTAATAATAACGTCATACTGTGCTGAGAGATATATTAAATTTTTATATTTAATTTGCTCTCTGTAAAAGTTATATGAAGCGAATTATTTTATATGTAGAGTTAAAACGCTGATGAATTATATATGCGTCAGAGGAAGTAAGTAATAAGAGTAAAAGCTTAAACGATTTAAGTTTTATTTGCCGAGGCATTTGGTTATGCTAAGAATACTTTGAAAATATATTCATAAATGCATAAAAGCGTTTGAAGTGCGGTGAGCGTCAATTATTATAATTGCGTCGTCATTAATGTTTAGGCAGATGCATGATAGTTCTGTCTATTTGTTTCTATTTCTTTGCCTCTGCCTTTGAAACCTTCATCTAGTAATGGGTAGTTATATCGATAGATACTGTAAATTATTTGTGCGATGTATTATTCGCCTTCGTAGTCCTTTGCGATTAGGCGAGAAAAATCCTGTTTTCAACCTGTGACGAATCATGTTGATACAGTTTCCCCACATCGATTCCATATCGTCCATCAAATCCATTATATCTCATGCTATTGTTCACAAAATTTATTATCATTTTTTAATAATATTATATAAATATGTGTAACATATTTTTTATTATTTAAACTATTAAATTTTTTTATATATAATTGTTTTTATTCATGCGAAGAATAAGATAGATTATCATATTTACTTAGACATTGCTTTTTATATATAATGTTAATTTTTTTTATTTTATATTTTATTATATTTTTTGTCTTATATTATAGTTACGTTAAATTCTTATTGCAACGTTAAATATAGCAAATAATAAGATTTAAAACAAACTTGGAATAAATTTTGAGATTAAGAGAATATAACAAAAATCTATACAAGTCTAATGAGAAAAATCTAAAACGAGGTTTGAATTGTATATGTTCCAGAAACATTGTGTATGCTACAAACTTTTTAAATACAGCTGTCATCTGGTGATTCATTGTTCAATGTAATCTGCAATGTTAACTATCTAAGACATTATTATGTCGTTAATCAATTATAAATCCATTATCGTCCTTCCATAATCCATTGGTGTAAATTAACGACAAAACTATTAATATACAATATTGACAAATATATGCTTAAGAGATTACTATAGCTTTCGAGGCATTTCAATGATGCAATCACGAAGCCAATGGGTCGTACATCTTCCATCATCATTGATGAGTATAACGATCACCATTATGAATTATCGTATAAATCATATTCATTATCCTTTCATAATGGTACTTTCTTTTCCACCCTTCTCTTTCTCCTTCTCATCTCTCTCTTCTCCTCCACTTTTTTCTTTTCTTCTTCTCCACTCCCTTCCCTCTCTTTCTTTTTGTTTCTTTCTTCAGTTTTCACGCATCAGTGGCAATCTCGATCATCATGTTCACTGTCTCGTCATTATCGTTATCATCGTCTTGATAGTAGTGGTGGTAGTGGCGATGATGGTGACGATGATGATTTTGATAATCGTCACCATTGTCGCCATCTCTGTAATTGTTATCAGTGTTATCATCATCATCATCATCATCATCATCATCATCATCATCATCATCATCATCATCATCATTATAATTATAATCATTATCGTTGTCATTATTGTCATCATCTTCTACTTTATCGAAATTAATACTCGTTCCGAATTACCTATCCTCTTCGCGAATCCTAGCTTTTTTCTCACAAGTTCTCGCACGAGAATATACGATCGCAAGGAGACGTGTCGTGTATTAGATTGATCAGGAGTGGCAGCGGGTGTTTCAGCCGCGGCAGGCCCAGGCCAACGTGTCCGTTGGAGCATACGGGAACCCGCGACTACGGTTCCCCCGGCGACTGGCTTGTCGACGCCGCCTATACCGCCATTACCGCCGCCACCCTCGGGCCCAGGGCCTGCTCCGCTCCACAAGAGGCCCCCGCAAGTCCCACATCGCAAATGTACGTTTATTGTACCTGGCCACGTACACCTGCTGTGCCCGCTGTCTCTCACGTCACGTCGGTCTGGCATATTTTCAGAATTACTGCATACAAAAGAGCCCGCTCCATTACTCTTTCTTCCCTTTTATAATTCATCCTGACTCTCTCACCTTCTGACTCGATCTCGATGATCTCTGATTGCATTTTAGATTTGCTGTAAATTTTTTGCAGACTTCTCTCCGAATGGTCCCCGAAAAATTTTTGCAGAAGATTAGAAATTCGCAAAGCGAATTCATCCCATTTATTTTTTTAACTAAATTTTCTTTCCCTTTTCTTTTTCGCCGTTGTGCGCGAATCATTTTTGATGCATGATTATTGATCAATCTAACTAAAAGATCTTCTTGTATGTGTGCTGAGTGCATATGGTGCACTTCTTCTCTATCGCCAGACATGGATTTCTATGGATTTACTTTATATTTTCACATGAATTTCTTCTTAAAATTTAAATCTTGTTTCAAATATGTCTACATTCAAATATTTATCAAGTATTGATTCGAGTAATGAACTGAAATACAAAGTACATATAGACAACAATATACACTCATGAGAGATATAAAGTTCCGTTTTCCGCGAAGCCTATAAGATAATAACGGGTAATTATAACTATAAAGTAAAAAGATAAATTATAAAATAAGATTATAAAAAGATTTTATTATTGAGAGTTTTAAATTGAGTTTCGTTTTGCGAATTACTTTATCAAGAGATAACGAGCTTAACAATAGATTAACTTAATTTAACAAATAAATTTGTTAAATCATAATTTATCGTTATTCTGATACAATAAATATTACAGTTGACATCAACTGAATTGGAGTAATTAATTAGCGCGTGTATTCGAGCGGTACGAAATATCGTGACAAGAACCAACGTTATCTTACAATTAGTCGCTATAGAAGAGATGACATTTTCTGGTTGATATAATCCATCTCCTCAACTGCAATTAGGCTCCTGTATATTCAAGCGAGGGCGAACGATTAATCTATTTTGATAACTTCGAGATATAGTATATACAGGGTAGTGAAAATGTTGTGGGGAAACTCAAATTCAGCTCTTGTCAATTTCATGAAAAATAACGCCAATTTTACTTATCTTCTGAATGATAATAAAGTATAATTTCATAATTTGAATAGCAATATTTAAAACAATTATCAAATTATGATAATCAAATAATTATTGAGAGAGAACTAATTTTTTTGAGAAAGTCAATATTGAAGTATATTGTTAAAAAAATATTTTTTTGGATGTCTATAAGATCATTAAAATCACACTAAGGTATTGCTAAGAAGATTTTTTAGGATATAAATACTTAAGATGATTAAAAAAGTTTTCACAAAAAGATCAGTCGTTCACTTTTCCTTGGAAGCTTTCTTGCCGCGTCGAGTCTCGCGAGAGCGAAGGAGCGCGCTTTCTTAATCGGTTTCGAAATTCAACTTCCGATGAGAATAATCGCGATTAGACATGTGCGCGCACAAGATACGGCCCAAAGAACTCTATTCATCAATTGTACTGTTTCTTGTACAATATGTTTTAGCCTTCCTCGCGACCACCGCCCCTCCCCATCGCCCTCTTCATCACGCCAAACCCACAACCACTACCAACACCACCAACATCACTGTCACTACTGCTAATAATATTAGCGCAAGTACCGCCCCGGTAAAACGTTCCCCGGTAAAGTATTCGGTTCATATGACCGTCCATCACCCACCTACGTCGGGCGCTGCCGCTGCGGCCAGGCCGGAGCGCGGCGTTAAAGATTTAAGCCAAAGGTGCCGTGGTGCGAATGACGAGGCTCAGGCAAAACTGGCCCGCGGCCATTCCGCCGGCGATGATCCATCATCCAAATCATCCCTCGATACGCGATCCGCGTCAAATCGAGCCGCTACTACCGCCGCCCAAGCTAGTAAGTAGCATGTTGTGCCGTGGCTAAAAAGAGAGTCCCGGTTTATAGTCTCTCGCTCTTTTTTTTTTTAACGTTGTCCAGTCATTAGCCAGTGTCTTTGCTTCGTGTGCTCGCTGTTCTGTGTATCTATATTGATGTAACTTTGTGATTAATGTAAGACATCTTTGTTTTTGTTTTTTATGTTTACAAAGTGTCCCATTTGAATCGTACTTGAATATCTCGAGAGTTATCTTGAGGTATCGAGATCCGGTTTTTTCAGGTATGGTTTTGTGTGATACCTGATAAAGAGGACATCCGATAAAAGAATTTGACTTGAGCACAGAGGCGTGATCACTTAATTTTCGTCATTTGATCTGCATTGATGTTGGGTATGTGGTCATTCAATTTATTATGAAAAGAGCTATAAACATAGATGTTAAAAAAAAACTTAAGATTTAATTTAAAAAAACAAAGTTGATCTTTATTTCCACTTGAAGTTTATTTCATACCTTTACCCACAAGGTAAAATTTTTTCATTAAAATATGTTCTACTGAAATTATTACAAGCTGAAAAAACCGGACTTTAAATCTCTTATTTAGTTTCGCGGATATTCAAATGTATTAATTAAAATGGGACACACACACACACACACACACACACACACACACTCTCTCTCTCTCTCTCTCTCTCTCTCTCTCTCTCTCTTTCACTTTCTCTCTTATTCAGTAATCTGTACCTTTTCTCTTTCTTTCTCCTTCCATTTCTCTGTATGTCCTAGCCACTGCCTCCGTCTATTGTCGTGTTGCATATGATAGAGTGTCGATTTAACAGAGTTAGTATTTGGATTCTATTACGTGATTATCTATCCCAATTATTTTGCACTCTGAAAAGAGAGTACGATTACATAGAACTACTTTTTTTTAGATGAAAAGTTAGGATAAGTTTCCAAGTTCCATTCAGAATCAGAGAATGAATTTACTTCTTTTTCTAGTGAGTTATAGAAAAGAAAAGTAAAGTCATTCGTTTCTCGTACAATTCTGTATTGAATTTTGCGTTATAAATTTAAAAAAAAAACTACATTATTAAAATCGAAATTTAAAGAGTAATATAAAGATTATGATATAGATTGTGACAAATATTATATTTCTTTCGGATTGATTTCTGTGAATTATATAATATCATCAATTATATAATCAATCTAAATAATCGACGCTCTATCGCACGCATTTCCAATTTATTATGTTCTCCACAACAATTTATTCCTGTGTATACAAATATATGTATATACGCATTCTCTGTGAAAATTCTACTTGAATCGATAAAATAAACAACGCAAAACAAAAGCATGATAAACCAAATCTGTCATTGAAAAATGTGCATTAGTGCATTCGTGGAAAAAAAAGTTTATTATATGAATTCTTTAATTTTGTCAGACATAATTTATCTTCCTGCGTTGAAATCTCCATATATGTCTTAACGATTATATAGGAATCTTAACTGTGATTAACTAGATACTCTTTGAAATTTTTAAATCTGCTTTTTATCTGCCTTTTATCTTGTGTCAAAAATGGTGACAAATTATTCTCGCAGAGAAACTTCTGTACTCCGAAATCTTTTGAAAACTAGATAATATATTAGTGACTACGAACATACAATAAACGATTCGATTTTATTGCCTTAGTATTAGGGCATGTTCACACCTTGACGGAAAAGCAGTGGCTAATCACAACTCGCGCTGGTAGTGTAGTACAAAAAGCCGAAATTATCGATTACCAGTGCGAGTTCTGATTGGGTGCTGCTTTTCCGCTTTCTGCTTTTCCGTTAAGGTGTGAACGCGCCCTTACGTTCGAATATTTGTAGTGGAAATATTTTATCATACAAAACAATATATACATATATATTGTTATTTTTCGTATAGAACAAACTGCATTATTTACGAATTTTCTTCTATGTACAACGGGATAAAATTTCTCAATAATGAGAAGCTCTGGCTTTCTAAATGTAAATGCATATGATAAAAGGCTACACTTTCAATGGAAGGATTACACATTTTTTTTAGTTTATATCTTTCACAGACTGTTATTTCCGAACGTATTCATTCCATTATTTATTTCCGACTCTGATGGCTACCTACTGTCATCTAATACATGATGTGTATTATAGGTTGCAGTGACTTGTAATCGTTAGCTTCCGTAAATTTATTTTATTCTTAAAATATCAACTAGGAGCTTTTGTATAGAACGTCTTCTCGAAGTGGAGATTGTCTTCTTGCCCTTAATAATAAAATAACGGTATATTAGCAGTGCAGCTAACAGTCTTTAACTCGATATTTTCTCTAGAATAATTGTGAAAAATATAATTTAAAAAAAGACTTAAGGAAACTGATAATTCTCAAATCATTTTAACATTAACTTTTAACAGCTTAATAAATTCTAACATTTTAAATATTTTTAATAACACAGATTTATTAAAATTTCCGAAATAAGAATACATATTTCATGTATGTATTTGAATCTATATTTTTATATTGACATATAAAGAGAATAAAAATTCTTCACCAAGAATCTCCATTCTTCACTTTGTTGGAATAATGTAAATAACTTCCATGAGTAAAACTGTTAAATAAGCGAAGCTAGAAAAAATTAAAAAGAAATATAATTTTATAAGAAAACTTTGAGTACTTTTATGAAAGATCTCACTCTTTTTCTCTCTCTTTCTCTTTCCTTTTCTCTCTTCATCAGAAATATTTCTTCAAAGACAAAGAATAAAACTATCCATTTCGTGCGCAAATTGTGCAGTTCCTTGTTCCTTTCGTGTTATTGCGAAGACTCAAGTGATATATAAACAAATAATAAAGCATGAAGTAGTTCAAGTGCGGAAGATCGAGTAATCATTTCCGCGATTTATCGGGAAAACGATATCATATGTACGTTAAGCCCTTTTGTCAACCTGTTGCGCGATATACACGCACTTGCATACTATGGCACATACGTGTGTATATATAAATATATGTAAATATATATGCATATTTTGTGCTTCTCTCTCTCTCTCTCTCACTCTCTCACTCACCCTCTCCCCTTTTTCTCTTTCCTTCCTTTCGCTCCTCCTTCTCTCTCTTTCTCTCCTCATGTCTGTAGCTGTATGTATTGTTGCGTATCTTTATATTGCATCCTGAGAACGCCAATGTACCTTCCGAGATATACATTATTAACAGCCTTCGTGTATTCTATATTCACGCTCGAGAGAGAATCTCGCCTGCACTCGATGCCGGCATTAAAATCTTTTGAGAGGTATCGATATGTAAAAATATTGTATTTTAAGAAATCCAAGACATTTCTTATTGATGAGGGGACAAAGATATCTCGTCGCAGCAGCGTAGAATAATCAGCACTTTCAATGTTGAGTAATATTTATCGTAATGACACTTGTAAAGGATTGTCAATACTGTCTGGGGAAACGATAGTTTAAGTGTTTCTCATTAATCCTTTTGCTGCCTCATCTGCTGGTCCATAATTACTAGATTTACGATAGTATGCGATAGTCAATTAATATATCGGTTTAAGTAATTAATTATATTAATAGCTTATAAAATAATAATATATTTATGACATGTAATATATTATAACTCAGTAAGTGAATAAAACGTTCAATAAATTTTTCGATATTTTAATTAAAATATCACGATGGCGTGATGTCGCAGCGAAAGGTTGATTTCCTCGTTATCTACAATTAATCACGTCGGATTGTGTGTGTCAACGCCTGGCTTTGGACGTCCCAAGCCCACATTCGTAACATCATCCAGTTTAATTTCCCACAGCACTCCGCAACAACTCTCGTAACTCTCTGTCTTTAGAGAAGTAAATATCCTAAACACGTTGAATTCAGCCCGACAAATACAACTGCAACTTTGCCGCTGCGACGATAATGAGAGATACAAACAAACTGTACAACAAATTGTGACCTTTAGTAGTACGCAAATTTTCAAATTAAACTACAAAACTTGAACTGAATCGCAACACAATGATTGCAATCTCAAACATTGTTGATTGCCGCATGTTATTTGGTAAACAAGTAATTTCTTGATAATCTACTTATTACAAGTACAAATAAATTATCAAGAAAAGGGCGAAATATACGAATTGCGGGTATACGAATTAATTTATAACGGTAATTTGTCTCATCATCGAGTGCAAGCTTCGGGGAACACGGGGGGGGTGGGAACCTAGAACGATCATCTACGTCGACGATAAAGCGTTTCGTTTCAAACGTTCCAGTGACGGCGGAACCCCAAGTAAACGGGGATGTCACCGGCGGGGATTCGAGCGTCGCTTCGACGCCACCGTCGCAAACGACAAAGGCAGTGGGGCCAGCGCCTGTCACCCAAGCAAGTCCCTGGCTAAACGACGAGCCGGTGGTGAAGAGTCCACCGGAGCCAACGAGAGTAAAGTCGCCGGAGCAGATGATCATGCGCTCACCGGAACCCGTAAATTGGACCGTACCCCTCGACACCGGCAAGACTTTCACCGTGACGCAAAATGTCCGGGAAGGTAAGACGGCAAAAGAACTCTCGATGGAAGATGCGATCGGAAATTTCAAGATGCACAAAATATTCTATGAACATTTTTATAAAATATAAATGCTTTCAGAATATTTAAATCGATGGGATATATATAGAATCGATATGAATATACATGATGGAATATTTTATTTAGAAATTTAGGTCCAGACAAGAGGTCTGTCTTTTTTTAGCTGAACTTCTTGCATGATTCATCTTTTCAAAAGGTAAACGGTTCAAGAAGTTAAAAGAACAGTTCAGTTAAAAAGAACAGGCTTAATACTATAATCATGTTGGGTAGTAGCTAATTAAAACGTTAAAAGTTAAAAAAACAGTTAATAACTTTTAACTTAACTTAGTTCATTAATAAATGCATTAAATTTTAACTTAATTAAGTTACTTTTAAATGTTAACTTTTTAACTTTTTTTTAAGTTAAAAATGTTTTTTATCTCTTTTAAATGCCTTAGAAAAATAATGAAATATAATGAGATTAAGAACGTATATTCGTAATCCGTTCATATTTTAAGTATTAGTATATCTTAAGTAATTTCTTAAGATATACTAATACAGACTTCTGATTGGCTTATGCCTTATGCTATAAGCCTTAGTCCGGATATATAATAAGTGTTTTAAGCCTTAAGTCATAAGAAATTGACCAATTACAGTCGAATGCGAGGAGAATATTTGACTGTAATTAGTCCATTTTTTATGGCTTAAGGCTTATTAAAAAGTAAAAACCTAAAAAGTTATGTAATATCATATGTAAATAAAAAAAACTAAAAATTTAATTTACTTAATAATCTATATTGTAGTTGTTATTTAATCTTATTTTAAGAAAAATTACATTTTTCATACATTTTGACCTCAAAAATAATTTTTTTCGAAACTAACTTTTTTTTAACTTAAATTAATTCAATATTAACTTAAATTAATTCAATACTAACTTAACTTCCGTTAAGTTAATTTTTTATTTCTTCAACTTTTAACTTAATTTTATTAATTTTGTAAAGCCATTAACTTTACCTTTATTCAGTTAAAAAAAACATTAACTTACCCAACCTTGACTATAATGCAAACGTGTATATATTACTGTTCATGCATAATTTTTTATAAAAGTACGAATATTCTATCTGAAAATAATTTTGTTGGATTATCAAAATCATAATTATAGGACGCTTTAGCAGGTATCTAGAATATAAAAATTTTTGTTAGCATTCATCATCATGCTTGATTTTCCTACATAATTATTTTGATGGTGCAAATTATTTTCAGATCTATAGTTAAATTTTAGATAAATATTTTAACAAATTCTTTCCGTGCATTTTATATATATAAATTTACGGCGTGTTATGATTTAACATACACAATGCCATAGGTAATATTATCATGATCGCAATTCTAATTGTTCCTTTATTTCGAAGAACCTCTGACGCGTCCGCATAGTGAGGCGAAGACGTGGGCACCGTCCTCAGTACCATCGGCGCCGCAATCAGCACCACCAGAGCTTGCGGCTCAACACAAATCACAGCATTCCCAGCACTCTGGCTACAAATCACCCGAAAGCGAAAGCGTTTCGCTCGGTAGTTTTAGCGGCATAAATGGTCACAAGGACTTGGACTCGGAGAGAGACAGTCCATTGCCCACGAACGCTCAGGACACACCTACGAAGGATGAGAAGGTCAGAAAAAAAACTATATCTTTCGATATATAATATTCGCTTGCATGTATAACATTGCACAAATCGCGTACTTTCTTTTAAATGGTGTTTTCTTTTGATACCTTATTTATTATATGTCCGAAAATATTAAAGTAAGGTAATTGAAAAAAGACATTTCATATTTTATTACAAAATAAACGAAAAAAATAAAACACGAAATATTCCGAAAGTTTTGATTGTTTTTTTATGAGTTTAGTTTAATAATTTTATATGTAGGACAACTAGAATAATGGAATTATGTAAAAAATTTTATTTATTTAGTTTTAAAAATATCGACATTGATATTTCGTAAGGAATGCATAATACAAAAAAATAAATAAGTAAAAATAAATAAAAAATTTATTATAAAAATGTATTACGTGCGTATTTCGTATCTTTTTCTAAATATTCCAAAGGTAATATAATTTACAATCTAAATTAATTTAATATAAAATATAATCTCATTTATATTATTTATGTTAAATATAGTACACATATGTAAACGATTGTTACGTTTTACAGCGACAGAGAGAGTAATTTACGACAATTCTTTTGCGTTTAATTTTAGGAGATCACCGATGTTGTCGAGGAAACGAAAGAGCGACAGAGCCCAGAGTCGATAAAGTCAGTGACAGGCACGAACTTGAGACGTCTGGAAGATCCGACGTTCGAGATGGAAAGTAAAAGGGAAGGTAGTATTCCGGTGGCGATCACGACAGCGCCGGTGACGACGACATCGTCGACGTCGTCCGCACCACAGAGTTACCGTGTTCTCGAGGCCGAGTCGCCAGCTCAAGGTACTGGCGGTAGCAGTAGCAGCACTGCGGGTACAGGAAGTAGCACCGGAGGTAGCACTGCGGGTGGTTATCACGTTCTGGAAGCACCAACAGTGGTACCGGGCTCAGCACAACGTTCGGCAGCGACCGATGTCTTAGAGAAGGCGCGAAACCGCTTCGACAAGTTCTGGGGAAAGGGCAACAACGGCGCGGAGAATTAAAAGCAGTGTTCTTCGAAACGACAAGAGAAGAAAAAGACGCTTTGACGAAGAACTACGAACAGTAGGGTAGGGCAGGACAGCCCTTCTGGGAAGAAGGTTATCGTCCCACTCTGCTATGTCCTATCGTCGATTGGTCTGTCCATGTGCTTTCATAGCTTTTAGCTGCTCAGAAAAATATATGTTATACACGTGAGAGCGAAAGGGGGAAAAAGAAGTGAGATGATATCCTCGTGAAGGAATTTTCTCGACTAAACGCCGCTTTGATAATTCAAGATCTTCGGGAATAAAATCCCTTTTTTTTTTTAAATTTTAAAACATTCTGAAAATATTCAAGACTTTTAAGGATTAAAAGAATCATATTACCACGTATACCGATTATAAATCGGAATATCTGAAAAAAAAAAAAAACAATCGTCAATAGAACTTTATAGAAAGACAGAAAGAACAACGGATAACTGATGAGACTAATCGATATTGTTCCTGAAGGTTAAAATTGCGGTCTATAATTGCGATCAATTTATTCGTTTATTAAGGACTACTATGTAACAAGCATACGGTCAAAACGATCAAAATGACGCTACACATTTCAGATTAAGCAAGATCAGATTCTAAGGCTTTCATGCAGACACAAACTCGAAAATGCACAGAAACTCGAGTTAAATTACTCGATCATTAATAATAAAAGCTTCTTTCTCCTTCAAAAGACAGACTGTAGGACAGCGTCATGAATTTGCGGTCGTCGCATCATTAGTAAAAGAAAAGAAAAATAATTCTAGACAAGGATACGTCAGGGTGAAGGATTGACGTGAGAAGCTTATACGACGACGGTGCGTGCAGGTTGCGCGTCGGTCTTGTTTCACATTTCGAATGATTCGAAGAACGTAATCATCTAACACTTACACGTGCTTGCATATACAAATACATAACAATTACATAAGCAACACACGCACACGTACACATACACAACATATACACGGAAAATATATTCGCATCTTTTTTTCATTCTTTGACTGATTAGTGATCTTATTGTGCGAGGTCTCATTAGATTGTAAAAACAAGATACAATTATATGAGATACATATGAATAAGAAAAGTATCTTTGCACATTCTGTCTTGGAATAATTTTTTACGAAGTGAAAAGATATTCTCTATCGCAAAGTATTTCTATTAAAATTGTTTTCATTTGTACTAAAATATGAAATAAAGCACATTGTAGCAACTTGTTTTTTTCTTCGTGCAAAATTATACCAACAAAATTGGATTGTGCAAATGCTCTTTTATTCATTGTACACATGATACGCATACACACAAACACATAGACACATGCTCATTGACATAGAGAGGGTGTCTAGACGAATATACATTTACATGAAAAACATTAACGTTATATAGGATATTAAAATGATCCCGTATACGCGGGATCCACGTAGTTAAGTCCGAATTCTTTTTCCATTGATAAAACTCGAAGCCAAGTATCGAGCCGACAGGTACAGAAACGGCTTGTCGCTATAAATAAATAAAATCTGAAACGAGTAGCCTTCGAATAACCGCTTCGTGCGTTTTATATAAGTCTATATACGGAATATACAATTATTAATACGTATACACGTATGTATACAATTATGGGATATTATCGCACTCGCGGGTTGTAAACGAAATTCAACATCTCGCTGAGGATTTCTCAAATCGAACTGTTAAGTATTATTATTTATTAATTTTTGCATATTTATTTAAATTTAATATATTTAAAATATGTAAAATATTTATTTTTTTTCTTATCTATATTTATATTTTATTGCATTTTATTATGTTTATATTTTTAATGTATTTTATTAGTTTAAAAAATTCTGGAAATTAATTATATTATTTTTGTCGTTTATTTTTATGCAAATACTTTATCGAAGTTATATAAGCATTATATATAGATTGAAGGGATCTGTGGAATCCTTGGCAAAACCATGAACCAGTTTCTTTCGAATAAAGAGATCTCTCTTAATGCACGTATTGTCGCCATGGAAGAATTTACTCCATCTTTAAACCGCATCTCGATCGTTTCGCATCTGATTTTATAGACAAGTTTGTTAATTTCCTCACTGAAAAATATTATGAAGTAAACAATTCTTGATCGCGTTCAAAATATGATTTTAGATATATTTTCTACGTCGCGTGTAAATTTATTTCTAATTATTAAATTCTATTTGAAAGCACAGCATCGATGATAAATTTTTTGAAAGCTGATAAGGATTGATACTTTTTAACAAAGCACGATGCACAGTGATTATATTCCAATATTATATTTCAAGAAATAAAAAAAAAACAGGAAGCTTACTTTAAAAAAAGAGTGATGATTTATATAAGTTCTCAGAAAGTTGAAATAAAAATGATACTATGTCACGAGCTTAGTGATTGCAAGTGATATAAAGAAATCATATAATTATATTCGTCTAATAATATTATATTAAAAACGTTTTAAGAATCGGAAACGATTAATTTCCACTTGATTATTCACCATGTATCGCGGTGCAAATGGTCGGGAGATGCGAGTCACAGACGTAGTTTCAAAAAATTCACGGCCCAATTTAGTCTTCGTATGAAAGGAAATGAATTACTGTAGTGAAGCGTAGTGTTTTTTCACACAGAGTAACATAGCGCATTGAACATCTTCACGATTACGATTTAACACGAAGTGTCGCTGTGTGTATGTGATAATGATAATGATGAGAAAGAAGAAGAAAAATATATAAAGGATAGCGATAATGATAATAATGATGATAATGACGTGATTTGATATTACACTCGATTGAAAAAAACATCAAATTTATCGAGAATACGCAAATTTCTAAATCGATAGCAAATCGAAATCACGCATCAAGAGAGGAAAATGACAAAAAAAAAAACGAAACGAAGATTGATGGACGCTACCTATCCGCTCTGCATGCTATGTATTCCGTCTGATTTCTTACGCAAATATATATTCTTTCATACGTTCCTTTTTGAAGAAAATAATGACGACAGCAAAAAAGGTCTAGATTCGGAGATCGATGACGAGCGAGGTTCGTCGTTCGGACTGCGATAAATTTCAAAAAGACGTATCTTACTATTAAAAACACCGTACAATAAAGAATAAATAAATAAATTAGACTTTTATAAATATAGACTAAAGAAGAAAAAAAGAAATATGGAAATTTATTTTGTATTTATTCAAGATTTTATTGAGAGAATCTAAATTATTAATTATAAATTATTAACCATATATATTTATGCGTAAAAATTTGATGTTTTACTGTAAACACTCCATTTTCATCATTCACAGTCGGATAAATGAACCAAGAAACATTCGGGGAACACTCGCTCGTCCTCGTTCGAAGACGCCGCGAGACAGAAAGAAGATAATGTTGGAGCTTTTTCTCTGTCTCTTTCACGCGCGCGCATATGGTATATACACCACACTCCATCCAGATCCACGTCCAAAAGCCAATCAACCGTAGTGAAGCAACATATATGTAACGATAATAATGCTAATAATAATGATACTAAATAATACACACAAGACACTAAGTATATGAGAGGAACGAAAGTCAGAGCGAACAACTTAACGAGAAATTGGACAAGACAAGCCAAGGATTCGGGCTGGATTCAACACGAAAGAAAACGAGAATTGTTATCTCGACTTACTGTTGTTCGGTCCTAAATGTGATTTCGACATAACGATTTCGAATATAAGGATTATCATTGACTTGACCGTAGGGAAAAGATAAACAAATTTCATCCAGCGCATTTAAACATTTAGCTGTTGTGGAAGCTTCAAGTTAATCAGTGATTCCCAGATTTTATATTGCGACGCAATATAAAGGAATTAAGATCGATTTCAATATACTTTAATTTTCTTATATCCATTTTATCGTTTAATTACAAAAAATAACAATTGTATTATATTTTAGTTATGTGAAGAAAAATGTATTGTTAAAATCTTCCTTTTGTGATTAAAATTTTTCTTTTGTCTACAAATAATTACAACACTTATTGCTTTTAATATTTATTTTACTTCTCTCACAATAATTCTGAAGTTATTTGGAAAATATAGAAAAATCTGAGAACCACTGGAGGAACATATTACATCTGCATGAATCGCACAGTAGCGCTTCCCGCTGAAAGTCCATTGCGTAAAAAGTCGGCCTAATTTTTCATCCAGAGAATGATCTTTTACTTAATGTATAGGAATGCGATGGATTATTGAGACATTTTATTGAGTGACAATGTGATCCTTTTTGTACCTTCGCCTTTCGGCTTTCGATGTCGCGTTTGTAACGCAGAATTAAGTATTCTTATTCAACGTTAAAAGAATTGTTAGCGAAATACTAAATTAATGGAAAAAAAAACAAAAAAAAAGCATGACACTTAGAATAAGTCGCGCGATTCCGATTCGTGAAACTCGAGATAATTTACGGTGCATATATAAACAAATGATGTCGATGACCTTTTTTTTAAAATTGCATCATGAAGTGGACGATATCTGAAGTATATTAAATATAAAAAAAGTTTAAAAATTAGGACAATTTTCAGATGTTGTCACGACGTCTTTCAGACGTGCTTTTGAATTTTAAAATTACCTTGATAGGGAGTTATCATCATCACCAACTGTTATATCACAGACACGGAACGCTTCGCAGCATCATTCGAGTGATGATGAAAGGGCTGACTGCAGCCCCAAATTCGTTTGCCGATGCAATTCCAATGCAATTATTGCCCTTTTGCGCCCTTTATTGCGAGCACTTACTTGGCATTCAGTCTAGTATTTGGGTTAAACTCGTATCGTTAGTTCTGATCACGCCGATCTGTTCAACAAGAGGTTTTAATCAATTCAGAGACAAAAAGTTCTCTTATCACACTACAAATTTCTACTAAACATTAATAAATTTACTATCACAAAAATTGAAAATAAATGTTTCTATTATACTCGATATATATTTTATTTTGTTTCAATTAACTTTATCTTGTTTTATTCCACGTTATTTAAGATTTCTCTTGTAAGCTGGCTTATAGAGCCATCGTGATCTTAAATGTATATGATAGCGGTGTTTAATTTAAAATGTTTTTTTCTTAAACGAGACAGGTTTCTTTTTTTTCTCAGTCAAGGTCCGAGCGATTCGTCATAAGCGACGCTATTGAAGCGAAACTGTGTGTGTATATGGCTTGTTGTAACTGACTTTTTTTTCAAACATGTTGAAGAAGTATCTTGCAAGCTCACACTGCCCGTCCGAATACAGAAGCAGACCTGTCCTGTGATTTTCAGAACGTCACGCCGCATGAATTAGATTGCGATTCGATCCGTGAGAAACGACGTTTCCCATTTGTCCAAAACGACCAAAAGCGAAAGCAAGTATTACATCCATCTAACGACTTCATCGTTAACATCTTCATTAATATTTCTCCATTCGTATCGATTCGATAAATTTATTTGTAAGCACTTCTTAAAATATCAAATTGTGAGGTATTTTCTAGGTTTTTTCTAGATTTGCGAGCGATAAGATACCTAATTCTGAAATTCTGGTGTCTGAAAGTTGCCATCGGAGCGTGTTACGAGATTCATGCGCTCATAGTTATAGCTATAATTACATACGCTGTGGATGTATATTATCGTTTTCAAAGATATGTTTTTTGCTCTTTTTCATATTCTACTCTGAGCGCACTTGATTATTGTGATGAAAATGTAGATAGGAAAACTATGAAAAGGCTTTCCAAGCGGAGTGTACGTAGTTCCTTAAAATAAATTCTATGTTTTTGCCTCTCGTTTTCGTTGACGAAAGTAGGAAGATAATCGTTACTGAGAGAAGATATAAATTCTTATCGATTAGCAAGACAGCTTTTTTTCATCGCAACAAATTAGAGTGCTGGATAACGCTAATTGTATGCTGTCTTCTAATTACGCGAAAGTGTTAGAAAGGAGTTTTCAAGAGAAAATAAGACGTTCCGAAGAATCTAATTGAACATCATTTCCGAAAAGAATCGATTTTGCTAATATAAATGTTATAGATATTAATGAAAAAATGACATGTCGTAGAATTGCGCGAAGAGAGAAACCTGAGGTCAAGAAACCTGAAGAATTCAAATGTAAATACATTTCAAATATATAACCAAGTAACATCATCTCAATAACTCCGTTATAAAATTAATTTTCGGAGAATTTAATATGTCTTTCGAACATTGCCGAGTGCATGATCGTCGAATTGTCATCTAATTTTCTGCCTCGCCCATAATATAAGTATAATAATTACCTATTTTATAATGCAACGAAAAGGAAATTAAGAAACGTGATCACAAAAGAAATATTGTAATAATTACATAACTGCAAATAATTCTGAATTAATTTCCTAGTGAGAATATCATCGATGACTCGAGCATGGTGTATATGTCCACGGTGGATATTTATACCATGGACTCAGGATTGTTACACACCTTCACATAGAGATTTTATCTTAAACTGTTTTATTAAGAACGATTTACACGAACGATACGATATATCAGTTGAATCATTAGTAGACATTAGTGGATAAACCGTTATTTAACTTCTTTAATTGATTTGTTTCATTACGATGTGCAAATTATTTTAATCAGACACTTATTTTAATTGTTCACACAATTCAACAAATCTAATGAAAGTAAAAAGCGCTTAAAAGCTTATTATAAAATTCAGTTATATCCCTATTATGGTATCAATCAAAATATCCCTCTTATTTTGTATACAATTTTGAATTAAGATTCTTCTGAATTATATTTTCGCATCACACTTTTCAGTATTAAAGTGCAAAGTGTAGATATGTCAAAATTATAATCCATAACATACATCTTACCATTCATAACAATTTTATTAATTCTTTTTTTTTATATTTGTTTACACAACCTTATTGTATATGAAACATACATGTATAGGTACATACAAACATACATATACATATCGTATGTTAGATGTTATATTTTATAATGTAACTTATTTGTGAAGAATTTTTATTACCGTACATGTTTAATTGGCTCAATTAGTATCGATTTGATACTGTGTTATTGATCTTATATTGTTTAAATATTCACGAAATGTAAGATGTATTATTTTTTTGCACACATAATTCCGCATGAAAGATATACGGCTCGTTATATAGATAATTAAGTTCGAATAGTTTGCGATAACTCCCAAGTGCTTTATTAGACCTTGCAACTTAAAACGACTTGACTCGGTCGAAGAGTTCTGAATTTTTGATAGAAAAAGTAACGAATGGAATTATGTTTGCGATTTACTGCCATCGCACTCTAAATTTACATCACATCGCATCAAACGAAAGAAAAATTTCGCGCAATTTCTTCCCCTATCTGTCAGGGTTATTTATTGCAAAGGATTCGGATCTCTCAATAGTCCGAAAATATCCTCTGATGACGGACTCTGTCGTAGAAAGACGACGAATGATACAGTGACTGGAAGTTTCACGGGAGTTCGGAAAACTTTTTCTCTCTGCGATTTAATTTTTGTTTCGTCCTTATAATACACGGATTTTTAAAGCGCTTTATTCGCAGTCGGCAATTCATTTGGGAAATAAAGGAAAAAAAATATATACATATATAAACACGGAATGAAATCACTAAAACTTAACGTATGCATAACGAGCATTATAAACGCTGTGGTATTTTTGCGTATTCTACTATATACACCGTTCGTCTATCTTTTTACCCTTTCTTCCCCCTCTTCCATTTCCCCAGTCACTCATCCCAAGAAACATTGCGTTTGTACTATCCGATGGCATCATAGAAAAGGGTCATTTATTACAATTGCAGATTATTATGGCTATATATATTATATAAATATATTATATATTAGAAATTGTGAAATACTCGTAATAAAAAAACACGCCGACGCTTCCTGTGATTTCTAGACTATTTTAATCGTCACGCTGCGTGCTCCCCACTTCGAATTATATCCACATGTTACGACGAATCCTTTCCTTCCCTATCAATAACGAGAAGATAGCGAAGAAAAGCTAAACGTATTTATGTCCCATCGTTATTTGAAATTACAAATCGATGTTAATGAGCGCGAGTGTGGCATGGCAGACAGCGCACTGGTCTATCATGCCAGAAGTCCCGGGTTCGATCCCGGTAGCAACCAAAATATTTACGCTCGTGTCTCCTCTCGGAAAAGGCCGGTAACTTCCCGAGAGTATCCTTGCCCATAGAAATACCTCTCGAAAAATCCGCCGTTCGGAACCGGCGTTAAAACTGTAGGTCCCATATGCTCGTGGCAATTGAATAATCAGCGTACGCACCACAAGCATATGAGAGAGGTGTAACACAGGCTAGAGGCCTAACATAAGAAGAACGATGTTATGAAGAATTTGTTCTAAAAAAAAAAAAAAATAAAAAACCAATGTTACTTATTCAACCTGTATTATGTTTAATAGTGAGTCACATATGCACACAATCTTTTTTCTCATTGTGAGTTTAATTTAAATGCTAATCGATTTTTCCAAACAATGATGTTAAAATTAACTGACAAATTATAAAGAATAAAAATCTTGCATAATTTAAGTGAATTTGTAGTAACTGTGGTAAAAATATTGCTATATTATTTAATATCTTCATTTTCAATATCAGCGTTCACATAATTTAGCAACTCTCGCATATACTCAGTGAAATGTTTTTTCAATTCTACTTGTGATTAGAGCTTTGAAAATGTCTGGGAGATATAAGTCAAGATATAAAAAAAATTTTTCTGAAACATACAAGCATTTATGCATCAAAGAATTGATCGTCATTATTATCATCTTCGCTATAGTAATTGTCGCCATTCTCAAAATATTCATTTGCGTAATCAGTCCCATCATCCATCTCGTCTTCTTCCTCTTCCTCCCTTACACCATCTTCTTTTTCTTCATCATTCTCCTCTTCACCCCCTTCCTCTTTATCTTCCTCTTCTGCAGGTTGTTGCATATTTTCTTTTTTCTCCAATTCTGTCAACTTTTTCACAATATCCATGTCCTTTTTCTTCTTATTTCCTTTCTGCTGCCGGGATTTTCGTTTCCTCGACGCTTTTAATTCCTCTGGCATTAAGCTCCAATCATGGTGTGCCTCATATTTCGATTCATCATTATCTACAAAATCTTCTTTAAAAGCATCGCTATATCGTTCAATATCTTCATTTATAATAGCAGCTTTCACATAATATGGCGACTCTCGTATATATTCAGTGAAATGCCTTTTTAATTCTACTAGATACTCCATTTCGTTAGTTATTTGAATAGGTGGAGGTTTGTGATCCAACGGAGGATAACTTAAAGATGGTTGCAGAACTGGTGTTGGTAGTATTTCTCCTTTAGCGATGCCCAACTGTTCCATGGAAAAGGACATAGCAGACTTTCCTCTACCGCGTCCTGCCATTTTCTTGCTATTGCTTCGTTTCCTGATATAATATATTAAATTAATTGATAAAACAATGTTTTAATAAACTATTTAGGATATTAAAATTGAGGATTATGCACTATTTCTAAAAAAAATTATATATCGAAATATATAAATTAGGCCACAATTTATTCAATGGCCAGATAATTTTATAAACATGTTTTGACTCAAAATCAAAATTTCCTTTAACAATAAGAAAGTAAAAAGGATAAATAAAATTTAAATAATCAAAAGTTACATAAAATTTTAATAATCAGATTAGATAAAAATTAGTAAAATTTAACGCCAAATTACTAAAACTTACATTATTAATTGCCACATCAAAGTAAGAAAGTAACAATCGTATTTAGGACCACTCTGTTAACTGATTGAGTACAAAGAAATCAAAGATAACAAGAGAACATAAGAACACAAAAATAAACACTCATCTGTCTCTATGACTTTTAAAGCAATCGGTAGATCATAGTTTCATCCATGTCTTAAAACTTTTGTTTATGTTGACGTAAAATTATAATCTAGAACAATCCTAACCTATCTATCTCAGAAAATTTTCGGAATAACTTTTTTTACCTTAAACTTGTTGAGTTGTTAATTCTTTTTTATTGCTTTTCTTTTCAAGTTCTTCTTGCTTAATACGAAAGACCTCCTTATCATAAATCACCTTGATCACAAGGGAGCACGAGGGACATGTAACTTCTTCTTCGCCGGCGGCCAGGTCGGAAAGAGATATTTGAAATTGATCGCCACATGGACAGGGATAGTAATAAATTTCCTCGTCCTCGTCGTACTCGAAATCTTCGATTTCTACTTCGTCATAATAGTCTAATCGTGGCATCACTCATTACAGTTCAATATTAACTTCAGCAGATAAAACGTGGTCTCTATTGTCTCTAAACATTAGTAGCAACGAACGCTTACTTATGCTCAACCGACTGTTGACTGTTGAGTGCAGTGTGCACCAGTGATGCGAATTCCGGGCCGCTTGCAGCACGCGATCAGCGCCACCGGTCGGCGGTCTGGCGTAACCGATAGCAACACAAGCACGAGCCCGTATCCGTGTGACTTGGTAGTTGGAAGCGTGCCGACTATACTCTGAACGAGTGCGAAAAGGTCAGAGTATAGTCGGCACGCTTCTAACTACCAAGTCACACGGATACGGGCTCGTGCTTGTTGCCATCGGTTACGCCAGACCGCCGACCGATGGCGCTGATCGCGTGCTGCAAGCGGCCCGGAATTCGCATCACTGGTGTGCACTTGTGCAGTTGAGTGAGCTGAGCGCATCAGAACGCACTCATTAAGCTGGTTCTACATTAAGCCCGATTTACATAAGACGCAGAACGCGGTTCGCAGATCGCAAAACTAGGAACTAACCTAAAGCTGGTTCTACATTAGTCGCACGCAGCGTCGCAAGAATTGCGGTCCAATCAACGTCAAGCTGACTCGACTCTGATTGGACTGCAACGCTTGCGACGCTGCGATGCGATCAATGTAGAACCAGCTTAATTAAGGCCGGAATCAGACTACGCATTGAAGATTGAAGTTGAAGATTGAAGATTGAAATTTGACCAATAAGGATAAAGAAATTTTAGCTCCTTTCGTATCGATTGGTCAAATTTGAATTTTTCAATCTTCAATCTCAATCTTCAACGCGTAGTCTGATTTCGACCTAGTGGCCCGTATTCAGAACGCGCTTTTATATCTGAAATTCTATAATATGCGTGACGTAAAGTATAGTATGTTAGCGCGCTAACATCGTTGTAAGCGCGTTCTGAATACGAGCCAACGTATTTAATATCATTTTCGATTGGGGTGCACTGGCTGCACTCAGTGTCAAGAGCGTGTTCGATTGGCAGTGCCAATGCGCACTTGGCTAGTGTCGCGTGTTCATTTGACCGCATGACACTCGCATAGTGCGCACTCAGTGCGCACTAAGTGGCACGAGATATTTTGACGGTGCACTAGATACATATATAGGATATTAGTGCATCGTTTTGTATAAGTATAAAAGAATATATAATAGGGACAAGCAAATCTGTAATTTATAGCATGCAAATGTGTACAATTATTGATAAGTATGTACATAAAAAAAATATAATATATATAAATATATATGATATTCTTGATATCTTATATATTATTTAATTACATATAGTACAAAATCATTACTTAAAGTTATGAATATGAGATGTCGAAATTATTTTTCTGCGTTCTTCCTGCAGTCTAATCAAGTCCTTACAATTTTACAACTCGAAATGGCATTTCAGCTTTAGCACTGAAAATCTTGGCGTGTTCTTTTGAACTTGCATTATTCAGTGCAACCCATGGAACATACTCGTACAGTGTTGGTGTGAACTGAGTGCGCACTGGTGTGCACTAACTTTTTCCCAATCGAAAACGCTATTAATCATAGGCCGGAATCTATAGTCTGTTCTTAATCTTAAGCAAGGTCTTAAGATGCTAATACTGCTCTCTGATTGGTTCATGCACTAGAAGACCATCTCGAATCTTGAGCAACGTCTATGGATTCCGCCCATAGTATGCTTGTAGAATTCAGGACGCAGAAAGTTGAAGTTCACCCAACTTTCTGCGTCCTGCGTTTTGTGTCCTACAAGCATACTATGATTAAAATACGTTAGGTTAGTTCCTAGTTTTGCGATCTGCAAACCGCGTTCTGCGTCTTATGCGGGGTCTACAATAGAAGTCGTAACGGTCGTAGGGTCTTAAGTCGTAGAAAATTGATCAATCATGGTTGATTATTCTTCTCATATTCGACTGTGATTGGTCAATTTTCTACGACTTAAAACCCTACGACTGCTACGACTTCTATTATAGACCCCGCATTAAGCTGGTTCTAAATTAGTCGCATCGCAATGTCGCTGCATGTCGCAAGCGTTGTGGTCCAATCAGAGTCGAGCTAGATTGATGTTGATTGGACCTCAACTAATGTAGAACCAGCTTTATGTAGATCGGGCTTTAGTCGCATCGCAGTGTCGTAAGCGTGTCGCAAGCGTTATGGTCCAATCAGAGTCGAGCTAGATTGATGTTGATTGGACCTCAACTAATGTAGAACCAGCTTTAGGTGCATCCAGAAGAACAACCACTCACTAACCCTGGAATCCCTGGATCTACAATAGATGTTTTAAGCCTTAAGCCGTAAGAAATTAGACCTGTTCTTTTTGGCTGAACTTTTGCATCAGTTCATCTTTCTTCCTCTTCTTTCCTCCTGGAGAGAAAAGGAAGAAAGATGAACTGGTGCAAAAGTTCAGCCAAAAAGAACAGGCCTACTGACCAATTACCCCGGATCTACAATAGAGTGTTAAGTTTCAAGCCATAAGAAATGGACGAATCATAGTCGATTATTCTCCTCGAATTCGATTATAATTGGTCAATTTCTTATAACTTAAGGCTTAAAACCCTATTGTAGATCCAGGGTTACGGCCATTATAAATCAGGCTTAAAGCCCATGGCCCATACAAAAACGTAAGGCCATAATACGTAAGCAGTAAAGAAATCATAATGCATGGTCTACAATGGCAGTAGCAGTAGTGGATGAGACTGTAGGAGTAACAAATTGACCAATTACAGTTGAATGTAAGAAGAATAATCGACTGTAATTGGTCAATTTCTTACTCTTACAGCCTCATTCATTACTGATACTGCCATTGGCTGCGTTCAGCAGACTCAACAGTTTTGCAACCGTTTTATGAATGGCTGCGTTCAGCAGACTCAACAGTTTTGCAACCGTTTTATGATTGTCTGCTGAGATAGGACCATTCTTCTAGATCTAAAAGTATGATCCAATTAGCGCGAAGGAAACTTACAACAGTTGCAAAACAAACGTTCTGCTGAACGCACCCATTGTCTGCTGAGATAGGACCATTCTTCTAGATCTAAAAGTATGATCCAATTAGCGTGAAGGAAACTTACAACAGTTGCAAAACAAACGTTCTGCTGAACGTACCCATTGTAGACCACGCATCAGATTGGATTCGCTACTGGCCTTACGGTCTCTATCGTGATTGGCCAATTCGCTTACTGATTATGTCTTACGGCCTTACGTTTTGTGCCATGGGCTTAATGTAACATGCGGCTACGGTTACATCAGCTGATCATAACATTACAACTGATTTTGCAACCCCTCGAAGGTCATCCTATGTTATGTACGCACTTTTTGCTCCAATAAAAAAGAGCCGGCTTTTAATCGAAAGAGAACTCAAGGACCACTGAAGGACATCAAGCTGAATTTGACAAGAATGAACTGTTAATTATTCAGGTGTGTTACACATGAAATATAATATTTTAATTATTTCATTAAGATATATATATGATATAGAATGCATATAATTGTTGATAATGAAATGAATTTTCAAATGTATTGATAATACTGAGAATCTATAGCATATGTAACTATAGATTTGTAGTACTGTAGTAAATTTCGAAATGTATCTATATTATACATAAGAACTTGTTTGTAGGTGTATTAAACCAAAAATAGTTTGTACATATTTTGAATAAAATGGCTACTTCAGTGACAACACCACTGAATACTGTGAATGCTGCCAAGAGGTCTGTGAGATTTGTTATATTGAAAGAAATGGTTGATGCAAAAGATTTTTAGTAAAATTTATTTTTCCTTATATTGCAGAATTACGCAGATCAGAAATATACGGCAAGGTAGCGTGATAGATATTGATGCTGAAATGTTTCTCAAGATATCTAATTACGAGGACACTGTTAAACAATTGGACATATATTATGGAATTGTTAAGAGACAATTACTACGCTATCAGAGCTGCATAACTGGCTTGTTCCCACAGATTTCGAGCGATCGGAAGGTTGGCAGTGTACGCGAAAGTATATATTGCGCAGCTGCCATATGGAGTCTGTATCAAGCATATAGACGTATAGATGATGATCGTGGAAAATCATATGAGCTGGGACAATCCACAATAAAGTGCATGCGGGGTATCTTGGAGTGTTGGATAAAACAGTCTTCCAGAATAGAACTTTTTAAGAAAAATCAATGCGACCGTTATGCTTTACACTGCAAGTTTCATTTGGATACTGGCGATGAAATCCATAAGGATGTTGATTATCATCATTTACAAGTAAGCAATAATAATATTACATATTTCTGTGAGGCACTAATAATTTCAATGATACAGGGAATATTTATAATAATTTATATTCACTTAAATATTATAATAAAATAGGACATAATTAGTATGGTATTTTCAGTATTATTATGTAACAATTGAAAATATCTTCTTAATTATTGCAAGTATTTATTCTGTTCAATATAGATAGACATCGTATCTCTTTACTTAATATTCTTAGTGCAAATGATTTCCTCTGGGCTACAAATTATATATACACAAGACGAAGTGGCTTTTGTGCAAAATCTGGTATATTACGTCGAAAGAGCATACCGTACACCAGACTACGGTATGTGGGAACGTGGAAGTCGATATAACGATGGAACACCTGAGATTCACGCCAGCTCCATTGGGATCGCCAAGAGCGCATTAGAAGCAATTAATGGCTGTAATTTATTTGGTGAAAAAGGTGCATCTTGGTCTGTGATATATGTTGATATTGATGCTCACAATCGCAATCGTAGTATTTTCGAAACAATGCTTCCAAGAGAATCCAGTTCGAAAGTAAGCAATCCCAATTGTGTAAAATACTCGGACCAATTTGATAAGAGATATATAATTTCTAGAGTGTAGACGCGGCTCTGCTGCCAACAATATCGTTTCCTGCCTTTGCAACTCATGAAGAAGTGTTGTACAATGAAACAAAAGCGAGCATAGTCCGCAGGCTAAAAGGCAATTATGGTTTTAAACGTTTTGGAAGAGACGGTTATAAAACTGTATTGGAGGACAAACAGCGACGATATTACAAATCTGGGGAAATTAAGGTTCTAAAATTTATAACATTCTTCGCAGATAAGAACTACGAATTTTAATAAACTGATGACTTGTTTCAACAGGATTTCGACAATATCGAATGCGAATGGCCATTGTTTTACATCTTTATGATAATAGATGGTGTATTCAAGAGTCTATCGGAACAAGTGGAAGAATATCAAAATTTATTGAAAACAAGAGTGCAAAAGGATTTGAATGGAGGTTCTTGATAAATAATATCTCTAGTTTTTATTCAAATAATGTCTATAACACAAATAATATGTTATAAACCTTCGATTATATAATTAAGAGTCGCATAAATAAAATTTGTTTTGTCTAGATCCGATCATTCCTATGTGCTATTATGTACCCGTGGAAAATTTGGAAACTGAAAGGAACGAGCCATGCAGTGCTTATCGGCTACCCAGTAATGAAGGGAGAGGCCCTAAATCTATGGAAGACGTTACACCGATATATTTATGGAATCAAGCTATGTTCGTAATTGCGCAGCTACTCACTGCTGGTCTTCTGCACATCAACGAATTAGATCCTATTCGTCGATATCTTCCATCGTATAATCGTCCGAGGCGAGCAGGAAGATATTCTGCTTTCCAGGTAAAAGAGAAAAAGATATATATCTCAAATATATAAGTTCTATATTTTAAATAAATGCCTGTATTAATCTATATTACTTTGCTTGATTTAAGTAATCGTATCAAATCCCCCCAAAATATAAATTTATCTGTTTATTTCACTAGACCTTTGCTCTGAAATTAAGTGACATATTATGTTAACTTTTTAATATAAATTGTGTGTACTGTCTCACAATAATTTAGAGAGATATTTAGTTGTTTTAAATTTAATTAATTTTTGTAACTCATAATTAAAAGTATTAATAACTTTTTTATATTTTCTTTCTTTATTTACACAGGCAAAGCCTACTATTGTAAGTAATATAAAATGTATGCCTGCTAATATAATAGTACAGTGTATGTAATAACGTGCATTTATTTTTTACCTTTAATGATTTTATTTATGAAGTTATGCAATATAATCTTAGCATGTAATATTGTAGAAAATCTAATACGTATTTTTCGTTTGCAATTTATTATTTACTTCACAGGCTTCTCAAGCTTGCCACGAATTTACACAATTATACATGGTATCCCGTAAAGACCCGAACAACGGTTAAGGGGAGATTCCTGAGATTATTTTGAAACGAAAATCCTAATACGAAAATGTCGAGGCTACAACAATTTTTTGAATTATAAGCTAACTTTAAATGCTTATAAGTAAAAACTTATTTTACTTTCATGGCTTCTATTATTATTTCTGGATTCTTTTGAACATTCTAAGATGAAATCCTAATACGAAAATATCGAGGTTATAATAGTTTTCGAATTGCACACTATCTTTAACCAATTATAATTCAAAAGTTATTATAGTCTTCAACATTTTGGTATTACAATTTTCGTCTTAAAACGATCTCAGGAATCTCCCCTTAAGCGTTGTTCGGGTCTTTACAGGACACCCTGTATATACACTAGTTAAAATTAAAAAAAAAATGACTGCTATTTTTATTATATGACTAAATATCCTTATGCTGCATGTAATTTATGAGCACTGTTATACTTATGCCAGGGCACTCATACCGACCTAGTAGTACAAATAGTTCTGATCGCAGAATCTATGCGATTGCAAGCCATGATGGCCACATATGGCATTCAGACACAAACACCGCACGAAGTCGAGCCCGTTCAGATTTTGTCGTCCACTCAGCTAGTGAAGGTTTATCAAAAATTAGGAGTAAACAAGAAGTTGAATCTTCACGGGCGACCAGCGCGGCCTATAGGTTCTTTAGGTACAAGCAAAGTATGTGTGATTTTATATTTTTTCCTTGAAAAAAAAATAGAAAGCTTGTGTATGCAATGGTATATTTATCATGTAATATATAAAATAATAAGGCAGACGAAATCTTTCTCATATACAGGTGTACAGAGTCTGTGGTATGACAGTACTATGTTACCCTCTGATCTTCGAAGTCTCTGAGTTTTATTTGTACAGAGACATGGCTCTACTGATCGATGACATCAAAACGGAATTGCAGTTTGTGGGCAAGTACTGGCGTCTTTCTGGTCGACCCACTGTGTGTCTTTTGATACGAGAAGAGCACATGCGGTAAGTTTACACATTTATGAATAGGTTGCAAGAATTAACTTATCTTGACAAAAATTTGTTTAGAGATCCACAATTTAAAAAGATGTTAGACCTCTTTGCGATGTTGAAGAAAGGCTATTGTGATAAGACGAAAGTACGCATCGGCCGGTTGCAAAATTTGATCTCATCTTCTTGCATTGGTAATATTTCATATAAGATTAATGTCTGCATAAATCGAATAGGGTATGAAAAACCGGTTTGATTTTAATATTATCATGTTTTATATCAAAATTTAGCGTAATTTTTCAAATGATGTATTTTTTAATATATGTTGATATTTTTTCATAATATTAAAATGTAATAAGTATTGTATAATTAATAATAATATTTATCTTTTTTGATTCATAAAAAAAAGATAAAATTGAATCACTTTTAAGATTGGGTTATTCTTTCATTTTTTGTATCTGATGTTTACATTCATGTTAATTATACACAGAGCACTTGGACTTCGTAAATAGTATGGAAACAGATCTGGACTTGACACAGTTTAAACAATTACAGCACGATTATATTGGCTATCAGAGTCTCACGGATGTCCCAAAGGCCTTTGCTTATTCTGAAAGCGTTAAGGAATATTCTGTATGAAATCATGTTAAAGACTTAAATTTCTAATAAATTGAAAGTAATTGGTAACCGATATTCTATGTTTCCAGTATATGTTAAATGAATCTCTTGGTAACATATTAAACGAACTTCGCAATAGCATTGGCTTGTACGCCAAATGCCAATTGTATGGTATTCTGATAAAACGAGAAGGAATTAATTACGAAATCAATGGAGTGACAGGTATTTTGTATTTTTCTTCTCTTATTTGTAAACTTCATCTTTCATTCATAATTTTGGATATACATCCAACTGTATATTTTTTCATTTTCCAGTTCGTGACAATTTGAGATCATTATATCAACAAGCTGGATCTTTAAGGTTCTGGATGGCCGTACGTTATTGCAGCAGTCTATTACATCACACAGTAGACAGTATCAGTCCTTTTATCACGGGTGTATTAGTCAAAGGAAAACAGGTATTAAAGGCTGTGATCAAAGTCTCGCTACAAATGCTTTGAAGTGTTTGATGGACCAATTAGAAGAAAGAATTTGACAAACTGACCAATTAAGAAACGCTTCAAAGCGTTTGTAGCATTACGTTGTAATGCGTAGCAACCGTGCCCATAATACTCTAAATTTGAATTTTAACTCTAAAGTTATTATTAATGGTTAGATCGCGGTGGGAGTGATTGGACAGAAAGAAACGGTATTTGACAAACCTATGACGCCGACGGAAATACAATCGGTAATGTATTCCACAATACAACCGCACAATGTGGTACAGGCTGTACTCCAACAAGAGATCCTGTTGTATTGCGGTAGACTTATCGGCACTAATCCGGAAATGTTCAAAGGCATATTAAAAATACGCATCGGGTAGAATATAGTTTTTCAGCAATACTTTTTAATTGTTACTATACGAAAACACTTAATCAATATTTGAATATTTAGGTGGGTCTTGGAAGCGATGAAACTTTACTTACAGATGTTTGTGAAAGATACCAAGCCGATTGAGAATTATAGTCCTTATGAAGTCCGACAATTTCTTATTAAAGTATTGACAGTAAAAGAATGGGCTCATGAAGAAAAGTATGATGATTAATGAAATTAGCCATTATTTTCGAATATATTCAATATTGATTAATATATCTATCTATTGCCGATAGTCTGACAGTGCTCGGTCGCCGAAAAATCGAAGGTTGCTTGTGTAGAGTGCCGGCACATTTCTACAATCAAGTATGGGAAGTCCTCATGCGTTGTCCTGGTGGTATCGTAGTGAACGGACGGGAACTTCCTCAACAAACCACATTGTCCAGTATGACTCGTTCTGAACTCACATTTGCTCTACTCGTAGAATCCTTATTGCATCACATACAATTACCAGAATATCGTCAGATCATAGTAGAAGTAAGTAATCAATTTTTATATCTTTTTTGGCTTTTTTCTACTTATATATACGCGTTAAAAATATAATAGAGCACAATTAAGCAGCATTATATTAAGTATGCGCATGTGAAACAAAAACATTTAAAAGACCTAGTTGTTGCCAAATTTACATTAGATAGGTACGAAGGGAATTAATAGCTTATTTTAATTGTATGATTACAGCTCTTAAGTATCATATCAACTATTCTACTTCGAAATCCAGAATTAAGTTTCCAGAAACAACTAGATCTGAATCAGCTTGTGGAAGATAGTTTTATCATGTACTGTAAGGTAATATACATGATATTGTAAAGGTAATCTCAAAAACTTTTACATGTGTATTATATGTTCACAGGATCACAATTTATCAAATGTCGATGACAAATCGTCGTTCTTCTCTGCGCATTATTCAATGACCGCAGGATATCTTGCTAGAGCCATAGTCAACAATGTCCTTACTGGTGGCTGCGTGACAACTATTGTGGATCCCAGTGATGTCCTTGAATCACCTCGAGAAATGTGTAAAATTACGTAACGAAACAAGTCAGATATTATCGAAACTAGACTTGAGAGATCGTTTAATGTTAGCAAAAAAATATTGTATATGCGTGTAATATATCTCGCTATGTATATATGTATAATCATGTTTATATAAAGCGACGATATAATATTCCGACAAAGATTTAATGCAAAGCTCCTATTCCCTCAAATATATAATAATAATAATAATAATAATACAGATAATGTAATAATAAAATATTTTAATTAAATATATTTTTACATTTATGTCGAATTTTTACATAAAAACTTGCTAGTACAAAGTAACTGTACAAAATATATATATAACTGGAGTTAAAATCATCTTTTAGCGAAATTTGTATCCATTGCTCGTCCAGAACGTTGTATATTGTTAATGTTAGCTTTGATCCTAGACGCGACAGTACCCACTTCTGTTGCAACGACCAATTGTTTTCTGCAACAAACATTCAGTTTTAATTCATTTCAATTTATTTGAAAAATATATATAAAGGTGTGCATTTGAAATATATTTATTACATGCGAAATTTAATAATATACCTAATAAAATCCTTATTTAATAATATACCTAATAAAATCCTTATTATTCGATGTAATATTTTGATCTTCTTTCTTCTCTTGTTCGCGATACATTTTCACATTTTTCTCTCTTTCTTTATCACGCCACACTGCGTTTGCCATCATCTCTTTTCGCCGCTGTTCCTTTTCCTCCTCGGTAAGACTTGGTCTTGTTTTTGGTCTGTATTTTTCTTCTTTTCTATCCTTAAATTTAATGTGATCAGTATTGGAGGTAGATTTAACGGCTGATGTTTTTCCGCTATTAGATATCTGTAAAATTGAATATTTAAATTTAAAATTTTGCTCTGGATTGATATTTGCTCTAGATGAATAAGATGTTTTAGTTTTCATCAAATATAATATTAAAAAATTATATTTCTTCTATTCTTAAAACGATATAAAAAAAGAGCATATCTTGATGAGGTTTTAAATTATATCTTAATTAGCTTATTCATAAAATTTATATAACATTAAAAATTAAAAGCTTTCTCACTCACCGTTGTTTCCTTCTCCACTGAGTATCTTCTTTTATCATTGTATTTATTTCTTGAGTCATCTCTTTGTTTATTATCATATCGTTGCCGTTTATTGTTCTTATTATCTTCTTCTCCATACTTTTGGCTTCTTTTGTACTTCAAGTTTCTATCTTCACTCAATTTTCTTTTTCTATCTTGTTTCTTGATATCATCTAATTTTGTATCGTTTCTCGAATATTTCCTATCATATTCCGTTTTATTTTCTGTCTCACGTTTAGTGATGTTCTTGCTATTACTATCAGTACTGTCATCACTATCACTTCTATTTTTCTTTTGTTTTCTTCGTTTGTGTCGTCTTTTTTTAACAGAAGTGTCATCATTACTGCTGTCTGTTTCGCTGTCAGAATTACGATGCTTCTTTGACTTTTTCGTTCGCTTATGTTTTATTTTCTTCATCGATTTTAGCAAATCTTTTTCACTGATATTATCTTTCAATTGTTTATACTTAGTGGCTAATAAAATATCCAACTTAGCCTCATCCTCGCTACTATCACTCTGCTTCAACTTCTTTTTCTTCTTTTCACTTTTATTTTTGGATGATTGTTGCTCGAGCTATAAATTATATACATAATTATAAATACATAAAAAATAAAATACAAGAATATACATAAATAAATAAAATATAAGAAAGTAAATATATCAGCATTCACTTACCAATTCCTTGAGTTGTTTTAATTTAACAGGATTTTTCAAAAGTTGATTCCTTGTTTCCATTTCTTTCTTCTTTATGGAATATAAAGGATCTTCTTGTATTTTTCTAGCCAAATCAACTTGTTCGTTACCAGAGAAAAATCGCAGCGATGGTGGAATACATTCTAATAAATAAAAAAAATGTACATTACATATTTATATAAAATATATCTAACGTATATATATGTGTGTATATATATATATATACACATACGTGCATGCACATACACAGAAAATATCTCAATATTCAAGAATCCAAATTTTATAACAAGAAAATCTCGCAAAAATCAATGCTCGGAATAAAAAATGGCAAATTTTATAACTTAATTTTTAGGAACTTTCTTGCTATTTTAATTTAAAAATTTGGAAACACTACACATAGGATGAGATGTATAATAATGAGTAATTGTGCAGTACTCAGTCCCGATGATCTTGACTTTGATATATGTTGTCACGATCATGATTCTGAATGACCTCCAACAAGTTTTAGCCATCGCTCGTTATTCATTAAAAAGTTATTAACAAAACAATTCTTATAAATAGAACGTAATTTTTTAATATAAAATATATTTTACTATATATTCTACATATATATTCTGCGCTATATAATTTATATCTTTTATACCAAAATGAGATAAAGCAAGGTTCACCCGATCCACATCCTTGCTTAGGAGCGTTCGATTTTTCATACAAAGCGATTTAATTATTAACAAACAAAGAAAGATGTTAAAAATTTCTATGGAAAATTTTCTAACGCATAGCAGGTCAAGATAGATGTCATTCAAAAGATTTCAATGAATAGGTTGAAGTTTTCAATGGGCACACAAAGGCCATTGAAAATTTATTAGGTGCGTCCTTCACGAATCACGAAAGGCTCTCTTGTAAATAAAAAGTTATCTATTCGCTATCAAGAGCTATCTCCTAATGATGACGGCGGGCAACGGGCTAAGCTTGACTAAAGCACTATAGGAAAAACTAGAACAATACCCACAAAATCGCTGAACGACCCTGCGTGATACTTGAAAGCTCTGACGAAGACCCGACTTCATTTTATTTATTTTTATTTTTATTTGTACTTTTATTTTTTATACATATAATCTATAATAACGTTGAACTCGTTTTGTTGAATGCTTTGCAATGATATATTACATTAATAAATTTGCATAATACGTTGCAAAGGAATTAACATTGATTTAACTGACGTCTCTTTGAATTTTCGTGACTTATAACTTCGTAAAGGATACACCTGCCAACTTTATACCCATTGTACCCTTTGATCTATTCATTGAGACCTTTCGAACGACATCTGTTTTGACTTGCGACGCGTCAGGCAATTTTTGGTATTCTCCTTCGCTTCTCATAAAAAGTCGTACGGGGGGGGGGGGGATATGTAGGGTAAATCTTGCTTCGTGTGGAAAGTCATTACGTAAACAGGAGAGAGTATGGGGTAGTTCTAAATTGTATATAGCAGAGACGTTATTTTTAAAATTTTTTGTTAATAACTTTTTACCATATGTCTTTTATTACTCTGGTGAAAAAATTTCACTGAAATTATTCCACATTCAGGAACGTTTCAACGAAATTAATGAAAATTTACAGAAATTTCATTGAAAATGAATTTTTCAGCTAACATATTGAAAAAGCTAACACGCTGAAATTAAATTAAAATTTCTTTAAAATTTTGCAGAAATTTCTCGCAAATTTTTGCTGAAATTTTGCTGAAAATGAATTTTTCAACTAAAAATCTGAAAATAAACTAAAATTTTTCTGAAATGCTGAAATTTCGCTAAAAAGTTCCAAAACATGGACAAATTTCAGTGAAATTTTTCCATCAGAGAATAAAGGATATATATAGTCCTTTCTTTTTTTAAATCCCTATATTTTTCCTACCAATTGTAAAGAGTCATAGTATGTCATTAGTACCATGCCAACATATGGTCCTTTACTTCAGATAGCTGTCCTTTAAGCCAGAAACACATCCATAAATATAAGGCAGTAAAAGGGCATCAGTCAATAATAGTAGAAAAAGCAGGTAAGGCAATAATAACCTTACTTGTTCTACCGTGATTAGCCGATTCACTTGTGTTTCATTTAGAAGTTATCTCAGGTATACGCCGCAAGAAAATTTTAGAAACTGATACCTATGTAGAACTCTGACAGTCATAAATTAAAGTTTTGAAATCTTTAGGAATAAAGATCTAAAATTTTCAGATTTGTTCTCTACTTTTTCTAAGAAAATATGGGTATCATAAGTCATCTGAAAACAAGTTGTATTCAATTCTATGTGTATCTAATAAATTTTCCCCAAATCAATTTTTTTGAAGATAGAACTCCGTACGAAAAAAATTCACTTTTATAGTATAAATTATGTCCTACTGTATAAACATGTACGAGAACTTACCATATTCAACATGATTTTTTGGCATTCTATTCATCTCTGAATCTTTTTCTGCCTGTTGCATTTGCTCAAAAGCCTTATCAACTGGTCTTCCTAACAAATACTCCTCTCTGTTAATTGTTTGATTTGGCCCTTTATACATCCAGTCTAATTTCTTATCATCCTTTTTCTCTATTACACCTTGTTCTACAGCATATTTTTTTATGTCTTCCAAATCTTTCTCCATTTCAATTTCCCTTTTCAACTCTGCTATCCGCTTATTCTCTTGATCATTTTGCTGCTCCGCCTTCCTTACTTTCTCGATGTTCTTCATGGTAGACGGATGCCATGACTTTTTCAAATTCTATAAAAATTTATACGTTTATTAGAAAATACGGCAAATTTCACGCTTTGTATCATTTTATAATCTTAATTATAACATACACTTACTAAGTCTCCGCCTCCCATCGTGTTGCAGCAATGTTAGATAAAATTTTCACAATAAAATAATACACTGATATGTGTAATATATTAATACGTAGTTATACAATTATTAAGAAAAATTAACTTTTTGATGTGAAAATATACACACAAATATTATTCTCAGTTTATATTCACAATTTTCACTATTACTTGATTTTCTTTTTAGTTCTCTTTCAGCGAATCTTTTTGTAGGTTAAGCAAGGTAGCGTCACAATATATACCGTGATAGCGTCGTGACTCCTCGACAGGCATCAGCCCAACGACGCGTGCCATTGGGATTTCGGCCCCGGGCACCAGTGACGTCAGCGATTTCCCTCTCTACTCGCTTTTGATGAAGGCAAGAAGGACAGAGCAAGTGGAAGGGGAAAATCGCTCGCAGTCGCGCACCTGGATGCTGGATCTCCTGGACCCCAATCAGTGATGCACGTCTGGGGCTCTATTCTTGAAAAGAAACAAAAAAAAACGTATACGAAAAACTAGGAAAATACTACGGTATACGTAATGTATACTGTAGTATTTCCCTAGACTTTCGTATACGTTTCTTTTCAAGAATAGACCCCCTGGCCTAGAACACTACAGTGCAGCGTCTCAACCCCTCCACTTTCCTCTGCTTTCTCCCAAGCAACGCGCAGCCGGCGCAATGAGCGAGACATTGAGAACATTCTTTTGCTGTGGTGCCGTATTCTCTTGATGTTTCGCTCTCTCCGCGTCGCTTAGAGGAAAGTGGGGGGAATTAGAACAAACGCTGTGGTGCCTGGGAGTTGCTGGGAGTCCCGGGACTCCGGAACCGAAATCCCATCACAGCAGGGAAAGATTATGGAGACACCATTCAGAATAAATGTGAACTATAGATTCATATTTTTAGTCAAAATACAAAAAAATTGCATTATAATTATAATATGTATATAATCAATAGTATCACTTTTAGGATTGTTTAAACAATTATTTTTAAAGAAGCTCGAAATTAAAGCTCGACAGAAAGGACTAATTTTGAGTAAAGGCTCTTTAAAGTCTCGAGCAAAAGAGATATCACACAAGTCTTCAATTTGAATACTATCAGTGATTTTATCCTTGTTTTACATTTAATGAATGATGATTATGAGCATCCAAACTGAATGCAGCCGAAGTCATATGACTAAAATAAAATTAAAGTCGTTGTGCACTGACCTATATAATCTGTGTAAAAGTAAAATGCAAATATTTCGAATTATACAGATTTTACTTAACATTATAATAAAATACATTCAGGATTTTATGTTTTAATCCGTTTTTATATTTCTAATTTATATTAAACATATATTTAATATTTTACGTATATTATAAATTTGTGTACGTGACGTCTTTAATATATACAGCAATGCGCACTAAGCGTATCCAATCGAATTTACTATAATTTACACAATACTGTTCCCAATTAGCATGCTAACGTCATTTGTCGTTATTCTGACGTCAAAATGACATTTACGTATGATGATATTTGACGTCAATTGTCGATAAATGTCTATTTGCTATTTAGCTTGTATGATACATACATATTTTAATTTTAATATAATGTGAATATTTAAAAAAATAGACTATAGGGCGGTTCATAGTCAGTTCATTCATAATCAGTTTTTATATTTAAGATCGTCTTAAGTTCTGTCTTGAGGTGTTATGATCCACATTAACGTCTTAAAACATTATTTAAAACGGTCTTAAAATAAGAACCGACTATGAATACCGCTCTAAAAGCTCATCTATGCCATATTACTACGTTATAGAAAAGATATAATGTTTGATGAAATTCATCAAGGATAGATACAGTTTTAGATACATATTTATAACTTTTTAAAGGGTACGAATAGTTTACACTAGTCTACAATAATTATTTATATAATTAATGATACTTGTATTAATAATTAATGATTTTCTTATTTTATAAGTATTGTAAACGTATGTACCACAAAAGGTGTCATTAATGTCATTCTACTCGAAATTTATAATTATTTTCTTTATATATGTATAGCTTCGATCGGATAGATCATGTTATCTGTTTGTGCTGCATGATATTTAATTAATTGTTAATTTCGCCAATATTGGCATTTAATAGTTTACTTTGCAATTGTTAGAAATTTACTTCGTTGAGATAGGATTATTCCTCTAGACCTAAACGTATAATCCAATCAACATTGACTTCTATTGTCATTTATTACATAGATCTATCGGAAAGTACTTCGAAATTTTTGATTACCTATTAAAATTTTGCTAAGTAATTATATATAAAAATATATCAAACATTTCCAAGTACCGTTTTTTTAAATAAAATAAAAATATAATTTATATATCTACTATATATTTATATTAAATATATATTTTTACACTAAAAATTTTTATATTTTTTGTTAAAATTAACAAATTCGGTTTTCTTGTCAATCGACGTTAGCGAAATGCATTCTCTTAATCATTTCATTTCCGTTTATTCAAACATTCCTCTTTGTTC